TGAAGTTGAAGATTGAAGCATTTTTTACCACTCCAAAAGGTGAAGTCAGTCAAAAAAAAACTCGCAAGCATCATTAAAAAACACATTCATTACAAATAAAGTAAAATAGTGCTGTATATAAAAATTGTCGATGGTTTTTTTTTTTTTTTTTTTGTATTAGCTATAGTTGACTTATTTATCCATAATATAAAATTTTTAGAAATAAATCATAAAAACTGTAATTTTTTACTATTTTTACTTTGTATATAATTGTAAACTGTCAAAATATACTTAAGTGACTCTTAAACATGGCGAAGTCAATTTAATTCTACTTTAATAACAGTTTACCAGTTGAGTCCGGTTTCCAGAGCTTGGCTATAGGTACCTAAGTGTTATAATTTGTTTGAAAAATAGAATTAAAGTATATTTTGTAACATACATAGAATAACATTTCTATTTTACAATAATGCTAATGATGAAAATAAATGCCACGTTGTTATGTGAAGTAATTGGGTTTGATAGTATTGTGTTAATCATAATAATAATATATATAATATGAAACATTGTTCAAACTTAACTAGCACTGCTAGCATGACATCAATATAAAATACAAGTTAATGAGTAGGTATTGAGTTTTTATAACGACTTATTCTGCCGTAATATATAATTAAATTAATTTTCCATCCGTCACATGTTATAATTTTCTCCCTAAACTTTTTTATGGTCAAATATATTTCCGAAATATTTTCTGAATTAATGGTTTGGCAGTGTATATAATTAGATAAATGGATATTGATAAAACTAAAAGTTTCCAAATGAAACAACAGTTTAAAAACAGTTTGTTTTGTTATTGTATTTTGATTACGGTTGTACCTATTTAATAATGTTGTAAATATAATTATAATAATACCAACAATGTGAAAATATTTAGGTTAAGTACAATTTGGTAAATTTTGTAGTTATTAATAGTAATATTATATTACAATTTATTAAAATATTTAAACATAGAAGCATTTCAATTTCTAGGGTTATGATTCATGAATGGGGTTATGCTGATAACGTATTTTTCCATCTCAATATCTCATACCAAAATAATTTGGAATTTGGACTGCAATATACACGGTTATAGCAAAATAAAATACCTAAAAGTCATAAACAACCTAAACCTAGTCATGATAAATCAATTCTCGGTTGATATTTGAATAGAATATTTTCCAATATTTTCGAGAAAAAATTCAGATAAGAAAAATGCTTGATATTTGAAATTTTTATATGATTCTCAAACACGTGGTCTACGATAAATACTTCATAAAATACAAAAATAATAATCTTATTTATTTAGATATTACGTAATATTCATAGGTATTTGATAATTTATATAAAAGCCAAGTAATAAGTATACAACATTACGGTGATATTAGGTAGGTACAATAAATATATTTATATGTAAATATAAATATTTTATCTTTTACAACGGATAAACGGTTTTACCTGTATAAAAGAGCTAAGGCGTTCTTTCATAAAAAAATTTAAATTATAGTTATGTATTGACTCCTTTTAAACATAAAATAAATAAATCCTTGATGATACTTGTAGGTATTTTAAAACTAATATTTATTAAGGATAAATATTATTTGCTTATTTTGAATAAATCAATTTTAAACTAAAACTCAATCCAATTGTTTTAAATGGTTTTGAAACATATAGTCGTCAATATAATTGTTATAACATGTACGATATATTATTATACAATAATATTATAGATTGTGTATAATATTAAGTTTCAACTATTATACATAATATGTAATAGTGTAATACATATAACATATCTATATTGTAAAATAAATCTAATAGGTCCTGCATTAATTAATTTATCTTATTTATTAGAAGCTTTTCATTAATTCCGTCTTATCACAATGTGTCTGAAATTCGTAATAAATTCATAACTTAATAAGTCGGATAGGGGTAAGATGGGTATTTACCTCATCATATCATTCATAATCATATCATGTAACTCTAATATAAATTAGCGAATTTTCCTATTGTTGAGTTATTATAATATTATATTGTAAATTGCCTTTGGTTTAAACTTTAATTTGACTTTATAAGTCACAAGCAAAATTCAAATGCATAAATTTGTATGAACAATAACACTTCATCACAGAATTCATGTCTCAAAGTGTAAGCGATTTTAGGATAATAATATACTAATATTATAATTTATATGATATTAATATACAAATACAAATTAAGGAAAAACACGTTTCTGAAACGACGTTGAGAGGTATTAGGTTTGTATGTTAGTATTCAACCTAACTATATCTGGCCTATTTATAAATATTGTAAATATTATGATGTTATGTTGTTGTTTCAACAAATAAAAGAAGACAACTAACAAACTTACAACCATCTTAACGTATGATAATCATAATAATAATTGTCTAACCAGCTTAACCTACGAACAAGTAACTTACAACTATTATTTATGTTTCGGCGCAGGAGGGGTTTTTTAACTAAAAATATCGCTACTGATAGTAAAACTTAGACTTACCCCTCCGGTTATACTATGGCCGATTCCCGAGGCGCCAGCCAACTCGACCATCGGACAGCTTGGACGGTGTTCTTCTTCGTGGAATTTCGGCTGGTACGGTTCAAGCATTCGAATTTTGCCCCATCGGTTGAAAAACAATGCAATGGCCGCCACCCATAGTATCATCACACATATGACAATGAACGCCTCTTCGGTCCGTATAACAATTGGACCTAGAACACGATTGTATTCCGACTGTCATCACTCGTTGTTATAGTACACTAAACAAAACTAGAATTTTAGAAAAACTGTGTCGTCCCATTTGTTTATTTAGATTTCATAGTTTAAATTTTACAATATCATAATTTTACGTTTTATTTTAATATAAATAATGGATTACATAAAAGTAGTGGGAAGTTAGACCTATCTATCATGAATACATACTGTAATAATAGTCGGTGTTAGGTACCTATATGATATAAAAAAATATGATTGTAATCATAATTTTCAATAACAACTCATCAACCGACAAGTCATAAGTTAATCAGAATACGTAATATTTATTATATTTGGTGTCATTTGTATTTGAAATTTTGAAATACGTATTCGAGTACTGTCTATAAAGTATTGGAATATAAATATAAATATTGTAAAAGTACTTTTTTGTATATAAAAATATTTGTGTGGCTTGGTGTGGCTTGGTGTGTACACTCAACTTTGGAAACGTACTGAGTGTACGTAACGGCCGGCGTTGCTAGTTCCCGGATGGGTGACCACCCGGGATTTTTAGCAACGAATCCTTGCCACACATACAAAAACGTGTTTTCAACCGTTCCTACCCCTACTAACAACCTACAAACAATCAAAAAAAAAGCTAATGGTCTAAGTTGACCCAAATTCAAAAAAAAAAAATTGTAAGTTTATCACAAATGTATATGTACAAACAATTATTGATAAATATTTAAAATAAATAATTAATAAATACATCTTATAATTGGTTCAAGAATTTCAGATGTAAGTATGTTATACATACCTATTATATTGTAAAGTTAAGCATCAGCAAGATAGATATGAATTTTAATTACTTATTGTGTCACCGCCTGTGTGTATTTAATAAAATCTTAAAAATTCTTAGAATCATTATAAAATATTATTTTTAGACAAATTGTTTTTTTTTTCAGACAATTTACAATCTGTACAATTTGCACAATAAGTAAATACGATAACTGACATAATACTATTAAAAAAGTATTTAGTATTGTAGAATAAAACACAAAGAAAAAGTATTTTGAACGTATTTAAAATACACTAATAATTGTCAAAAGGTATTTGAAATACTAATTCACTAATTACTATAGTATACAGAACCACTCTGCTTTCAACCATGTGCACTGTGCAAACTGTCATATGGACTTCCATGGTAACCACTAACCAATAATGATTATTGATTAATGATTATTAATAAATAATTGCTTAATCGATTTTATGCATTGAAAGTCATAATAGTATATTGTCCGAGTTTACACTTGTGTTAAACAACAATTATTATAATGTTTCGAAAATTGGGATTGGTAATTTTTTTCTATGCATTCCTTAACACTGTCGTGAAGACTGAAGGTGGTTTGATAACTGATTTCAGAAAATTTCGTGAATATACCAACATAAGGTCAAATGATGCTGATGAAAAGAGTGTCCAGGGATTTCGACAGTCAGAAAGTATGTGTTCATCATTAGTAGTTGGCATATTTCATTATTTTTAGACCATCTCATTATTACTTCCTTTCAAACTTCTTTCATTAATTTGTAATAGAATTTGAAAATAATTAGTCACTATTTAATTTATTTCGATAAATCACAGATCCAAAAGATCAAAGTATCCTTTTAAGTTTATACGAAATGTAGGTATAGAATATAGTTACGAGTATATTATGACAATCAAACACTTTCGAGATAATACCGATTTCGTTGGTACTCTACAATAATTATAATTACAATACACAAAGTAAAAAAAAATACCTTTTTTATCTGACATTGATGAATTGTTAATTATCAAACCCTAATACCGGGTTGCATGTAAAATGTATTAATAAAATGTAATGGACCAATCATGGGCCACTAAATCATATTTAATGGACCTTTGGTTCACTATTGATTTGTTAAGTGTTTAGTGACCCAGTGAAACGGTGTATTTTGGTGTTAAAAACCAGCGTAAGTGTATCAAATATTGTTCGATCATTATTCTTATAAAAGAGCAAAGTGGTCGTACAAAATACAAATGAATAGTTCATATTATTATCGAGAAATCACTATTTCAGATTGTTTAATGTTTATAAGTTATTACCGTCTTACGTTCAAGTATATAATTTTGTTAAGTTTATAATGGTTTTTGAAATATTAAACAGACACAGCCGAGCAGGATGATCCATTATTACAGTTGGTAAAACAACTGAAGAAGAATCAACCGCCGAGATTCACTGGAAAAACATTGGGCATGACTATGACAACAGTTAGTACGGCGGAGAAATCAAAACGTTGGAATGTGAATGGGTTTGAGGGCAAAAGAGAAAAACGAAAATCGTTGATTAAGGTGACCGGACATGATGATCGGCCTGTCGAGGCAGCCACGGTAAAGAGCACGGGTCCCAAACACATCAATAGTAAAGCTGGTGACAAAGGTCAGCCGGCCGTGATCGGCCGATCTTCGTCAACCAGCTGCGGTACCAGGAGGTCAGTGGCGACAATAACCCGGGTAGGTGATCAGATGGCTAACCCTAACCTTAAAATGACTGCATTAGTGCCGTTCACACCCCGGACCCGAACCCAACCACGACGGACTTCCACCGACAGCAAGTGCACGACCAAGAAGTGGAAGTGCAACGAGGTGATAGAGGACGAACCGGCGACGGACCAGTCAAATAGTATAGGGACGATATGGCAAGACATCACCTTGCCCACGCGACTGCCCAAGTAGTACTGGAACCTTGATGATTTTGACGGTTCCGGTTCCGGTTCGGTTCTTACAAAAACTAAAATTTCGGTTTCAGTTTCTTTTCGGTTTTTAAGAAAACTAAAATTTCGGTTACGGTTTCTTTTCGATTTTTAAAAAAAACTAGAATTTCGGTTTCGGTTTCTTTTCGGTTTTGAAAAAAATCGAAATTTCTGTTTCGGTTTTTAAATTGACAAAAATGTAGGTTTCGGTTTCTTTTCGGTTCTTAAAAAATGAAAACTGAAATGAAATTCCTGTTTAGGTTTTATACTTGAAAGTTAACACTCATGTAAGAAATATTTGATAAGTTTCGTTGGCGTCAATACTAATTTTTCTACCAGATATTCTACCAATTGCTTAGGACAAAGGAAAGGACTAAATAACTTCATGTACTATCCCGTTTCAAATAACACTTTTTGTATTTTACTAGATTACTATGTAGCATTTACCAATTACTACTTGTTGCATTATTATTCAGTATTTAAGATTTTAAAAATAATTTATTTTTTTTATCACCAGTTACCAGATATTATATTTTCTTAGGCTAGAGACTTGCGGTCAGGGGTTTAAGAAGATAGTAGATTGGAAAGTCTATTCCATTTTCACAGGATTTTAATCTGATTACTTTATTTTATTCACCTCATAGATATTATATATTAATTATAAGTATGTGCTTTACCTTAAAATGATCTGTAAAAAGTGAAAATCAAAACATTTTAGAATACTTAATGATAGTGACAATTAAAAATCATTTTAGTCATACACAAAATTAATATAATACACATAATTACGTTAAAGATAAAATAAAACGTTTGAAATGTAAAGATATTATTCATACATTAGTTATAATATTGGTACTTATGACAAATAAATTATATACTTTTGAATATTTGATGATAAGGATAACTTAAACGTCTTAAACATCATAATGGATTATAATAAAATCTTATTTAAAATAAAAAAAAACCCCTTTCAAATTAAAATGTTATGTACTTATACATAAAATTAAGTAATAAACTTATAATATGTAACAAATAATATTTAAAATTTTAAAATAAAACAAAACTTATAAAAATGTAAATTATATAGCAAATCTTACTCTTTAGTTAAATTTTTTTTTCAAACAATCTATTTGTACGAACTATTAATTGATCTAATAATAGTAATAGTAATAATATACACAATCATAAAATGCCTTGTTATTTATAAATATTAACCATATACCTATATTGAGAATTGCTTGGTATTGTGGTAACTGGAACCCCTATAGGTACCTACATATAATAATATGCAGTAAATAATGACTTATTTTTATTGGGAATTTCTCATTTCTATTACATTATCAGTTGTTACGTACAAAATACAAATATTGAAGGATTGTTTTTGTATAATTAACATCTTAATAATAATAATAGATTTACGAATTTGTTTAGTTCATATTATATTATTATCTACCATGTACCAATGACAATTGACAGATATATTAAATAAAATTAATGATATAACAAAACCGAAATTAAATGTAAAAACCTTTAAAAAAAAGTATGGGTTGCGGTTAAGTTGCGGTTTTTAAATAAATATAAATAAGGGTTCCGGTAAGGTTCCGGTTTTTAAATAAATTTAAATAAGTGTTCCGGTGAGGTTCCGGTTTTAAAATTAATTTGAATTAGGGTTTCGGTGAGGTTTCGGTTCCCAATATTGAAAGGGTTCCGGTTCCAAAACCGGTTCTTTTCGGTACGGTTCCAGTCCCTGCCAAGTACCATACGCCCATAGACCCAGTGACCAAGTTATTTCTGAAAATGACGTCCAACGATAGATGGAGAAGAAGGCCCGCTGACAAATGCACTAAACCTTTTTTTACTTAAAACTGGTGCGTCTTTTCTTTTTGAACTGGATATATAGGGCTAGGAGACTTATATTAAATATTATATTCAGATGAAGTTAGCCTTGTACTATAATTTCTCACTAAGTCCATAACTCACTACGATTTTTTTTATCAAAACTTAAACATAAAAAATTTAAAAAATTTAAATTCCTATTAATAGCTTGATATTTGTCTAAATATTTCGTTGAGTATAGAAAATAATAATTAAAGTGAGTCTTAACGGTTAACAAAACTCTTTGAATTACATAAAAAAAAACTTTAAATTTTTTGGTTGATGAGAAATTGTTATTTATTTTCGACCGAATATCCAAGTTCGTCAAAATATTTCAACTTCAGACTATAAAAAATATTTGTAAAATCACACTCAACTTTTTTTAATAATTGATTCTTATTGAGATCAAAACTTATATGAAATTTTATATTAAATAATGTTCAAATATTAGGTAAAAAGATTAAAAATTTGATACATTGTTAATTACAGAATAATTTGTAATTCGCACAATAAAAACAATTATTTTATACATTTAAGCTCAACGTTTCTTTTAATTTCTGTACATTAACAAAGTTATGAGGATCCTTGTATCAATTAATTATTGCCAAGCTTTTTGAAGGAGGGTAATATTCTTATCGACATATTTTATAGTACATATTTCAACTGTCTTGACTATAAATATCTTAATTAAAGTAAAAATATTTTGAAAACTATATCAAGTGTTGTATAGGAAATTCTTATACAAACATTTAAGGTAAGTATCTAAGATTATTCGTTTTCGAATTAGGTACTTACAACAAAATAAGAAAATCAATTTAGTCAAAATCCTATATTTCGTAAAAATTCCAGTTTTCTTTTTTTTTAAATTTTTTTCCTAATTAAAGTACAAGGGTAATTTTTCCCTTTGATTCCTCCGAGTTAGATTTGCCGGAAAAAATATTGAAGTTGAAGATTGAAGCATTTTTACAGACACAAAAATCATAAAAGTCATACATAATTGTCGTTTTGAAAATCAGAATCACCTCTCAGAATTCTGCTACTCTCGGAATGTAAAACAGTGGCTTACCCAAAAATCAAATCTCGTGTATTTCCAACCGTTATAGTTGTTATTGAAACGGTGACATTTTTAGGAGTCCTTAGATATAAATGTTTGGGACACATGTATAAAATCCCGTTATACTGTCACATAGACTGGCCGCAGTTTTCTAAAACAATTTCAAACCCATACGGCCAGTGTGGCCAACAAGTACTTATCATAATATCCTATCCATAAATCCATTTTTACAGTAGGTCTCTATAGTTGATATTGTGGTCGTATAACAATATACATTTATTATGACTAGGTCGGAACTAATTTTATGCGTAGACAATGTGACCGCTTCAAATTCGTCATCATTCATGATAATATCAATGACTTTAATACTATATGTCTATATATTATAGAATATAAGTATAGTTATATATTGTCTATTGTAAACATTGATCTATGTTTCTCGTGTCTGACGTCTTATTTTTTAAACATTATTTTTATTATAAAAGTGTGTAATCGCACAATGACCGCGTAATCCAACAATAATATGATTATTACAATGTTGTAATGATGTTATAGGATGTCATTTATAATTAATTAGTAAGCTGTGTCCATCTGAAGCCCACTTACGGAGATCACACTCACATCGATGTACTTTGGCTGATAGACAATGGCTAATTTATTGTAGATATTGTTTATTATTGTATTTAAAATGTATACGTCTCAGACATAAGTTAAGGATGAAGATATTCACCGTCCACTGACGATCGACCAATCGTACATTCGTATAGATCCGTCTTAGTTATATAAAAGCTATTTATAATTATCATCATATCTATAATAGTTGATTGCTGTTCAATACATGGTTGCTCATTATATATTATATACTATTATCAGTTCTCATTATCATGATCTACGTACCTGATGTGAGGTAAGCAATTTTACTTTTACAACATATTGTAATCTTTTTAGTTTTTTATACACTTTTCACTTTTGTAATGCACCATATTCTGTAGAGATGTACGTCGTACTTACACAAAAAACGTCATATTATGTAACAATTAACAATCATTACAATCTTAGATAGCAAATAATTATCAAAAATGTATTGATATTAGTTTTAATATAAGTGACAACATTGAGATGGCTTGTACTAGTTGATAATTTTCCCCACATACCTAATAAACCAACTAAGTATTTATATTATCAGCTAAAAACCAGCCATACTATTTGGCTAGAAAATTCAAGTAAATATTGTATTTCGGATAGGTATTTGAGACTATACCAGTTTGCAGTATACATACATCAAAAATAAATAAGACGACCATGTAAATTTTTATGAAATCCAAGAAGATATTTGGTAAGATGATACCTGATTATATTCAAGTTAACAAGTTAAGTTCAAGTTAAGTACCAATGCAATGTAACCTGGTAAATGGTAATTATGACAATAATCATCAAAACAGTTGTTGGTGTCGATTATCAAACCAAAGACAAAACAGACACACGTTCTGCTGTTCTAGTGCTCTAGATTAAGATTATTTAACACATATATTATTAGTTCAAATTATAGAATTGAAAACAATAACACAAGTTCCAAATTCTTAAACTAGTTGTTGTATGCTTATTGCATATTACACTTTATCTTCGACTCGCTTCATATGCAGTGCGGTTGGATTATAGGTACGTTGGAAACTTTAAATGAATGGATACACTGTATATTATAATAAATTGTGACGTAGTTCTTTAAAAATGTAGTTTAAAAGTTTTTAACTGTTTTTAATCAGCTAGTAGCATGATATGATGAATGAAATGATAAATATTTTCCAATATATTATTACGGTGTAGAGTATTAGAGTTATTTATGTTAGATGTCTGAACGTTGTCAAGGAAGCTATTGTCTTCATGTTACGATGTATTTTACCACAGTGAAATTTATTCATAAAACCCCTCTATCGTTTGTAAAGAATGCACTGAAACAAAACTTTATACCTGGGCTTAAATATTAACGTAATGAAACAAATTGTTTTATGATATTACAAATTCAAACGAAATTTCAAAAATAATAATTTTATTAGTACGATGGTATTATACAGAGCGGTTCCTTAATATTCTTTAGCCTTAGGCATGCTGTAGTGAACTGCGTGGGAATTTTAAAGTGTTTAAAATTCGTTCGGCACCTCATTTAACTCGAATTGTTAATATTTAAACAACGTTTATATTATAAATAATAGTAATATTTTAAATTGTATAATAATATGCATAGGTACTTGGTTTTATAAATGAAACTCAAATTTACTACAGAAATTCCTAAACTGCGGTCTTCCATATTTGTATAACTAAATGTTATGCTATAATATGTTTATGTACAGTAGAGAATATTGAGTTTTCAGCTAAAATGTGTCAACAGTTATCTTTAGAGACATGCTCACCGTAATATTAGATTCATGATATAAAAATCTCTTCAGATATTTTCTGTCAGGTAATTTCCTGTTGACTATACATACCTCCTAGTACTGGTGAGTCCAAACAAATAAAGTCAAAAGACAATTTGAAATAAAATAAATAGGTCTGAGGTAATAGTCACATCACTATATTATTTCTTCAATTCCATGAACTAAATGATGATTCGTAATAATATAATATTTACAATAATAAAGTATATTCTTACATTCAACAGAAATATCTACTTAACTCAGAGGATGTACGTATTTTTTTTATAAATATAATTGTTTATAATTCGATTTTATAAAATTGTAAAATTATTAAGCACCAATGTTGACTCAATTATTTAAATATAAAAAAAAACTAAAAATAACAAAATTTAAAGTTGCTTATTATTATTTGTTTAATTCATAAGTTAAATAATAAATTATTATACATAAATACATAAGTTATCATAATCTAATTATGGGCAAACAAATATTTATCAATTTAAAAAAGTATACTCAGGTAATTAAGTGTTGTGTGAACAAATAAAAATAATTTAATATCTGGAGTATTACCTAATTTTTATTATCTGTAACTAAATGTCTATAACGTATATACGGACCAAGTTGAGAGGTTGTCAACATTTAAATCAAGATTTTCTTTTTGAATTTCACAATTTATTAGAATTATCTGTTGCACGATGAATTAACTAGTTCGTACTGTACAACACTGAAAACTTTCTAGAGTACCATGAGAGATGGATCGGGAAACTTTGAGTTTAATCGTTATGATTACCTACCTCAGTATGACTAGGTAATTCCTAGAGGCTACCGCCAAATACAGTGGCTACAAAACACAGTTTATGCGCAACACACCAATCAGTGGTGGTTTTGAACGTAGCTAGTACCGGCATTACATAATATTATTTACATATGGTTGGACAGAAACGAGAATAATAATATGAAGAAATAAGCGCTAAATGAAAGCACTTGAGATAGATATATATACATATAAAACGGTGAACGAATATTCCTTTGTATAATATAATAGGAGTATACATTCATCGAAGTATAATAATGTATGAGGCATATTAAAATGTGTTTGTATCTGTTATACTAGTATAGGTATTAGTCGACATAAACTAACCGTACGTGAAGTATTTGATTCGTATTTACCTAATATATTTACCTTATTTATAACATAACCAGAATAATATATTATTCTGTTGACTTTATGCAGTTCAAATGTAATAATAATATTTATCAGAGATGTATACCTAGTAATTTCTAATTACCTAGGTATGTATATGTATATACCTATCTTTAACATGAACCTATATTGATTTTAAAAGCATATTATTGAAAAATTAAAACATATACAATATTTTTAGTGTCTAGAAAATATTAAATCTCCAAAAATGTAAATATAATATCATAGAAAATGTCGAAACTAATTTATCATATTTACCCTCAAATGCTTATTACTACCTTCGTCTTAATTTAAAAATATTAAAGTTAAACATAATAAAAAATATAATATAGATGTAAGGCGATTTTTTAATGATTGAGATTAATTGCTTGTGTTAATTAAAAGTTTCACAATTTGTTATGTTGATGCCAACTATTTATAAAGCATTAGATCTCGGATGGTTGATCTAAATTGAAATTTCAAGAGGATTTTATATAGATTATTTTTAAACATAATATATTACATTGTCTCGAGAAGCATCATTAAAAATGACTCTTTAATATAACTGTACATATAGGTAGTAAATAATCTGCATTAATTACTTGGATTATTACAGAGAATAATACATTAATACGGTAAATTGGATAAAATCCAATAATACAATTAACATCTACAAAAAACTTTTAATTACAAAACAATATTATTCTCTCTCAGAAATTGTTATTTTAGTTGAATAAATGTATTAAATTGAACATCTTTAGAATTTGATTTAAAATATTAGCTTTGCAATTCGTAAAGTTTATTAATTTTTACATTTTTACGTTTGCTACATTTTTCACATCGTGGTTTTAAATAATATAATAAAACAATAAATGGAATTTAAATGTTGTCATAATATACGAATAAATAACATTAAAGTCCATATAAATTAATTTTAAAAAAACTAATGCTTTGGCACTTAAGATTAATCTATGTCTTGTTTTTTTTTTTTACAAATATAAAATTTTATTTATATTTTATGGTTTATAATCTGATTAAAGTTCTTTTATCTTACAAAACAAAACAAAAAACGGTGTACAATACGGTAATCAATAGTAATATTGTAATTAGTGGTCCTTTAATAAAAATAAATATTCAAGATTAGGGCATTGTAAAATATTTCGTGCTTCGTAAGATTCCTTCAAAATTTTGATTTAATCATTGTGGCGAAACGACGTCAATCGCAGAGAAACGCATTTTTTAAGTTTCCTCCAAGCATAGTTTGTTCCCTATATCGACCTAGCTCTATAAAAATAATCCTGCTTTTTGCTGACGAAACTGAAAACAATAATGGAAACTCGTTGTACAAATAAAAATCGATAGTTCAATTAAACAAAGTAGTCTTGTCCTCTCATCAGATTATAATAATAATGATATGCTGAATGTTTTCCCATCTCATTATATCCGCTGCGTCATCGTCGTCGGCACTGGCACGCATCGATAGAGGGCAAAGGGAAGTTGTGTATAATATAATTATTGTATGCAAAATATGTTTCTACGCTAGAAGCCGTACAATAGTACATGGCTAAGATTCGATTCGATGAAAATAAAAAAAAAATAACTACATAAAAACAAATCAATTTACAACCACGCAGTTATTTGTCACTTCAAAGTGCACATTGACATTACTAGGTATACATTTGTTACAACTAAAATTATTATTGCCTGTCACCATAATTTGGTCTATGACTACAAGTAGACGAATTTAGATTTTTAGTGGAACGGACGTATTGATTTTACAATGATGTGTGTGTTTTTCCTATGTGTCTGGAGATGCCTACTTCTTCAAGTAGACAAAATGCTCCGATCATTAACTTCGATGGAGATTTCCGATTGAATCTAGTTGGTACGTTTGAATTTTGAGAAGTCAAAATTGAAAATGCTCAGTAGTCTTTAATATAATGCAAGGTCCCTGATGAGTTGTTACTAATAGCTATTTAAAAATATTAATGATAATAATGTAGGCACTATTTTTTGAAGTAATAATTTTCTTAGGATTCGTCAAGATCATAAATTGTCAAATGTAATTAAAAATAAATATATACATTATACAATTTTTGTAGTTGGGCATTGAAAATATAATACAAATTTCTTCATAGTTAATTCATACTGTAACTAAGAAATCGCTGATCATTTTACGATAATATAGGTATGCAATGATTTTTTAAAATATACATGAATTCAATCTACCTAGTACCTACATGTTACTACTAAGCTTAATAAGTAGCAATATCAATAATATACTAAAAAAATATCTTAGGGTGATCTACCATCTCCGCTCAGAACTGCTTTTTGCATACAGCGATATATAATTGAATTCAAATTGAACACATCCATTAAACAGCGATCCACTCGACACGATCTACTGTACAGCAGAACTGTACCCACTTGCCTGACTTTTTTGCGTTCATCCTTGCACGTGCGGTGGCAGAGTATAAAGTTTTATTTAAGGTATCAATTGACGACGTAGTTAAGAATCAAAGGAAAAACGCTCGGTCGTCGGGAAACTACTCCTCATTGTATTTTGTTATCCCAACTGCAGTTCAAGTTTTATTATAAAAATGCAGTATATTATTACTATCGTTTTATTCGACTTGGAGCAAGGCACGAGGCAAGTGCACATTTAGGTACTCACCTCCGGTCCCTGTGGGTATCATGTCCGACGGTATGGTGGACGTCTCTTCGGTCTCTTCGATGCCCAACACTTGGTTGGACGTAGGTGAATCCAACCATTGAGTTCCATCGTCCGGGTATGGCGTGTCACCGTAGTTCAGCTCCGTGTAATTGCCATATTCCACCATTTTACGTTTAAATCATTTCTCTGAAAGGAGGAATTCGTTCGTTATTAACATATAAACACAGATATATTATTTGCACGGGCATAGAGCAATAAGAGCATATTACAGAATAAGCAAAACGAATGACTTATTAATATGAATAATGATTCAACAATGGTTCACTATTTTAATAATATTATTATTAAAAACTATAAGAGCTTAAATGTTTGTATTTTTATTTTTATTCGTCGTATTATAAACGCAATCGATCAATAATATCGTTTTCGAGTTTAGTGGTTATTCCGGGACTGGAATGATGATTTACATCGAGTCTTGTTCTATGTAGTGAAAAATTATCTATTCAAGAGGAAAATTATGTTCTTTCGATGTGTGTGTAATTTTATCCACTTATTTATTTCTTAACAGTAAGTTATTCAGTCCTGTGGTAAATATTTTTAAATTGTTCAAATAAAATCACATTTTTAATATCCTTAAATATAAAATGAATAACCGTGACGTCACTTTTAATCCAATAAATTCCATTTGAGGAATACTTTAAAAAACACATTTAACCTATATACAGAAAACACTAGGTAGTTTGTTTTATTAAAAAAAATTAGAGAACACATGAATAACTACTACCGAAAAGAAAAACCATTTAACATTTGCGGTATTATCTACCTTCAAGGTTTTTGAATACACAGCAACTGTGGTTTTCTTAACTAATGGATAAAATAGAAACTATTTGTAATAATTTAAGACAACGAACAAAATTCAACGCAATTTGTTTTTTGTTTTTTTCTTTTACAATGTATTACATAGTTTAAAAATGTTAATACATTTTCTACTAAATATTCTCCTAACTAATTTCATATTATTTATTTCGAAACGAAAAATGTTACTTATTTTATGTTAACATTTATTATATATGGATATTTTGGTTATTTATTTCCTATATACGAGTCCGTAAGAGATGTTTACTAGGAAGTTCAAAATTATATGATTCATAATATCGATTCCACATGTTAAAACTATAGATAAATGTATAGATCAAACAGAAAACACGGATACCTGTGCACGTGAACGGTTGTTCTGGTTTGTGAAATACGCTAAGGGTTTCTGCTCTATGAATACTACATGAATATGATATTATTCTATCGTTCAAAGTTTACCCGTGGTTGCTGAATTTGATATCGTCAGGTAGCCATTACGAAAATCCCTTTCCGGCAAATACCACGCGTTGACCTATATATAACCATTGTTACACGTCGATGATATTATATATTATTACCTATATATATTACCAAGAGATAGTTCTTAAAACAATCCTCGGTTCCAATTTTATACTGGATAAACCAATAAATACATTTTAACCTTATGTTGGCCATATTACAGACCACTAAGTAATCCATTTTACGAATCATCTGTATATTACCGACCACTACAGATGTAGACTGACACTGACTGGTTCACTTGTCATCCAACCATTGTAGTTAAAAATTGAACCACCGTAGAAAACGTTTTACATCAATGAATTTCAGTTGTAGTCGCTACATAATGATAAGCGGAATGACTAATTTATTTATCTAAAAATCAATGGTATAATCAACTGTTGTTATTTTTATTCGGTAATAATAATTGTTCTTTCATATATAGATATCTACTTTTTACCTACTTGATAAGGATCAAATCAATATTTTTTTTAATATTATAAAATATATGTAATAATGACAATAATTGTATACGTGGGTATAATAATTTATAATATTATAGTTATTATATTTACGTACAATCGATTGTATTTTAATTTATACGATATACATAATTATATAAAGGGATAGGGAAACTACAGTATTGTAGGCAACCATATTAATACACTAGAAACCTCCGTTCCTATATTATTATACTAATGAGATTTATATAAATAAAGTGTTTTTAGTTGAAAAAAATGTAAACCAAACTGCTGCTTTTTTACTAAATTTCAAAACAAGAGATTTGATCTATTTATACAAATTAATTTTTATAAGAACATACCACTATTAAAAAAAAAATTTTAAAAAATGTACTGCCTAAGCCAAAAAACCATTTGTAAAATGTATTATCATACGCACCTATAACTAATGGTCAATCCATTGATTGATTGGATTATTTTCTCTTAATTATTCATTATATCATAAACATTACTTAAAAACCAAACATTTTAAATGAAACGCACACATTTCTATAGTATTGATACAATATATGTTGTGGTGTGCAGTTTGGAAACACAGTTATAAATAAATAATATGTGTGTAAATATGGTACCAATTAACTTTGACAGTAAAATAAGGGTACCTACACATGCGAATCATTTGCAAATATGGTTTTCCGATGTACGGTCATACATTATAATTTACACGCTGATACATTTTGTAGTCTAGAGCGCTTTTATATTTGTTTAGATTTTATTTCATGTTCCACTCTAAAATTTGTTTTGTAGGTACGATGTTTGATGAAAAAAATAATGTAAATATGTTTTCTATTTAATCAAATATTTTACAACAAAACCCGAGTAATAAATAAATACTTATATACATCATAATATTAAGTAAAATTTGTTTTCAATATAGTATTAGAAAAAATATTATATTTTATAATTGAATATATTTTTAAGTCGACTACTAAATCACTACTTTTAACATCAGAAAAAAGTAGAAATCAAATGAAACTGTAAATAAAATTATTATAAAGAACAAATAAATAATATTAATGAAATAAATTGAGATTTTTATACTGTATGAAGTATTTGGAAAAAAAATATAAGTCAATTCATACTATTTTAAAAGGTACTCAACGCCATAATCCATACATTTTGTGGTTTTCTTAATGGTACCATATTATTTTCAAAGATCTAAAAATAAGTTCATCAAAATATGAATTGTTTGTTACTCATTTAATTATTAGAAAAATAAAATATTTTTATCATTCATATATTATTCTGGAGGCAGTGAGGAATTAAAAAAATAAAATAAAAGTATTTATTACCTATTATAATAAATGTGACCGATAAATAATTATGAAATAATGTTTAAATGTAGATATAGTATTAATTATTAGTATGTTTGGAAAATCTGAAAGTATTATGAAAATATAGTTCTTCATCTTGTCAAAATTTCACTTGGTTTTGATTTCAAATCCCAATTTTTATCTGCTTGTACATTAATCTTGTTGTCGCATGACAAAAACATCGGTCGTAAACATGCCGTGCTATTTGATATTTTCTCCTCGTCGTGGAAAACATTGAATCATAATATGATATATTATTATCATATTACTATATAGATATTATGTTTTTACAATTATGGTAAAAAAAATATGTATCAATGAGTTATTGCCATGAAAACGTAATTATATTATGCATCGGTTGCTATGGACAGCACCCTTACGAAGAATCAGTTTATGAAACAAAAGTTGTAAACCAGATTTTGGTGGGTCTGTTTAGTTTTTGGTTGCTATGGTAACGCAATTATATTATTAAGCGGTTACTACGGGTAACCTAGGAACACTAACCTGAAATTATGGCGTTTTACAATTGAAACGTTATAACGAAAAATTCATCATGATTACGTAGAAATTGTATCCATTCGAAAACATACATAAGTTTAAATTACAATTTGGAAAATTAAATAAAAGTTATGTTTATAAAATACTGTTTAGTTATAAAAAAAAGAATCCTATGAAATTGTTATTATTTTTATCTTTATTGTTTAAAAGGTTTATGGTGATTTTTTTCCGCATAAAGCTGTATTTTATTGTTTGTTATTTTATATAATATAGGAAGATTAATGGTGCATGGTAACACAATGTTATAACTGATAAAGACGTTTAAAAAACGATTAAGCTATTTAGATTAAAATTGATTATTTACCGAGTGAACAGGATACTTTATTATTTATTAATACATTGATAGTTTAGTTCAAAATCAAAACTAATACATTTATGATAGTATGTAGAATAAATACAGCTACAAAGTAAATGATTACCTATTATGATTGTTAGTATTACTCATATAAATATTACAGTATGTTTTAACAGTACACTCTCATCATTAAATCAATATGTTGTTTTTGCATTAACATTTCAATATAAATGTAATTGTTTATTGCCCTTAGTTCTTCTATCCTTATGTTTGATGGTTAAACTACCTACAACTTTTAACTTTTAAATGGCAACTTCAAATTTTTCATCTCCTATATTCTGAAGTAAACGATTTTTCTACATATTTTGATGTACCTGCCTATGTAAATATTAAATAAGGAAGGAAAAGTTTTTTTCTTATTTATAAGAATTTAAACTTTAGTTGAGTCAAATTGTACACCTCAATTAATTGTTCATGTCATCCCTTACAAAGTTACTTCACTTATTTTATCTAAACAAAAATTCTTATTAAAAATAACACTTCCGACGTAGTATATAAATATTTTCTAACCTCTAAAAACTATCTGTATTGTGATTTATACCATTATACATATTTTCTTTTTCTTTTTTTAATTTAGTTCTATAATTTGTTGATGAATGTAAAAAAAAGTGATTACCTAAGTAATGTTTACCTCAAGCAACGCGGTAGTGATATATTCAACAACATGTTATTCATTAAAAAATATAGCGTTAGTATATTTGGGGCTCTTAATACAAAATAAGTATTAACTATAATATACAAAAATGGAAAAATAATATTAACTTTGAATTTTTATTTACAGAGACCCACAGATCTTCCAAGAAAGTTCAAAGTCAGCCTAACAAAACTCCGGATCACTCATAGTCATCCAATGAGTAAAAATGATGCCTCAATATGCCCATCTTGAGGAACCTGTCTTACAATCCAACACATAATGACTAAATGTCGAACATACATCGAATCAAGATTGTCCTCAAAACTTCCGGAACATCTCTCAAAATCACTCGGATACAACAGATCTTCACTAGCAGCCACCATCGAATTCACAATGAAAGCAAAACTTCAAACTGTAAAACCTATATAAATT